TTTTCGTTTCGGCATGGAGCCTGCACGAATCCTAGCATTGAAGATACAGACGCGTGCCTACCTACTTCTTTCGTGCAGTGCTCAAGGATCTGGTAATGCGCCGTACTGGTGTTACATCAAGAACCGGCCATCGACTCTCAGGAAATATCATACTACTGGACACCACTAACTACTCCATGCCTCCTGTAAGCTTGTGCTCACCAAAACTTGCCCATTTTCTTTCTAGTTCTTATTTGAAAATGTTTATATTCATGCCGGCACTGCTGCTGACAACACCGGGTCCATCATATGACAAGTGCCGGCGGAGATTTCCCTTCCTTTTCATCTCATTTTACGCATCTTATTTGGTTTCTTTGACTTTGTCCCCTGCCCTCTATTTCTCCAGGTGCTTGGGCGAGCCATCAGCAATCATTGCAACGCAGTATTACGCAGTCTCCAAATCCGGCAGTTTTAAATAAGACTGCGATTCATTCTGTTCAGAATAAGCTGCCCTGTTCTAGGGTATGCTGGCTTGTTGCCGTATCCTCGTTGCCTCCCTTACCAGGAGCTTCCCGCCACGGTCCGCGTTTCCGTGATCAGGGGATCTCAGGGCCGATATGTGGCGTCGCTTACAATCTATTTCACCCTGGACCAGCCAGCGGGTTTAAGAAAACTTCGATGCCGAAGACCTGTACCCAGCATTGTGGTTGTGATTACAAACCGTGGTCCCGTGCAATTACTGTTGTGAGCGGCCCTCTGGATCAGTCTCTTACAGAATCAAGGACATCATGTACTTCCAGGGCATGCGTATAATCGCTGTACTTGTACGTGCCTAAACAGAGTCTCTGTCACATGCATAGAGCAGGTCGTGTTACACGCTTTTCTGGGGAAATGCAACCTCCTTCGTTGGTCCAACTTTTGCCAGACAGCTCGCTTCCAGCTGTGAGGTTCGTCGTCGTCCAACCACCAGAGCTGCCCAGCCGCTGCTTCTCCCGAGGCTTCGGTTCCGGATCAAAGCAGAAACTCCGTCGTCGAGTCAAACGGAAAAACACGACTCTAACCGCACTGAGATGGTCCGCTCGAGATTTTTCCACCCCTTGTCGGTCGAATTTATCCGCGAACCAGACCTGTTAACAATAGGGGCAATGCTTGCTCTCGTGAGCGAGTGGCACCCGGAAGGGATCGAAAGAGGAAATCACCTCCATTGCCAGGGACGGGTAAGCTTGCATGCAAACAGCAATACCGGCAAACCCCTGGAAAGACCCAGCTGCTCCATAATAGCATATGGAGACGGCTCGCAGCCAACGTTACAAGCAATCCGCCTAGCGGAGACATATCTTTTATTCATCGCATGTTTCGGCCGAGCATCTCTGACAGCAAGCCACGATCTCTGGACACGCACTTGGGACGGACCGAGGATTTGTAAAGCAAAAATCCAACCTTAGCAGACAGTATCGAGCACGGCTACTAACTTCTCTTGGCTCTTTTGGGGTCCTACCTGTTACACGTTGCTCTAATTGGCCGAAATGGAATCCGAAGTCATATTCAGCAACTACTACTATCGGGCACTGTCTGTCACTCAAGCGGCTTCAAAGAAAAAAAAAGGCTAAAGTAGGATTCACGGGGATCGCTTCCGGATAATACCGTTGCAATAGCTATGGAAGAAGAACAAAAATCTTTCCGAAACATGAATACATTGGACACCGACGCTCAATCTGGCAACTAACTAGCATGTCCTCCTCTCTCTCTTCTCTCCCCATGTCCAAAACGTGGCCGGCCGCTTTCCTTCGAACTCAGTTGCAAAAGTCGCGCAGCATGCGGCCAGCCTTGCTAGCGCCTCTGCATGCAAGTGAACGAGTTTGACTGATGCTTCCAGAAGAAGCCGTGGAGGAGGCATTTTAGGCATCTCTTCCGGGCTGGCGGCATTTGCCATCGTGGCCTCCCTTGCGTGGACGGAGAATTGATTGACACATGGCCAATTCAGAGATTGATTTTGCTGTGTATTGCAAGCAATGTATGTTCCGTTCATCGTCGGCGAAAAAACTCACATCCAAGCGCCTTAGTCAAACTCTTGTTACACCTGGTACGAGGGCATCGACGCTGGGTGCTCCGCCACTTGCCGTCAGCAGGGCCTTGGGTCCGTGTGAGTGTCCGAGCTTGCGGATTTCATCTCCCGCCGGCGCTTCGTGAGATGCCGGTTGTCATTTGATCGTGGTACGAGCCCGCTGCAAAGTCGTTCCAGTTTATTCCGCAGAGGCAGAGAAGCAGAGCCCAATCGCGAGCGTTGATGGTATGAAATACCACACCCAGCACGACCGCTGATGGCATCGTACCGGCATCCAGTCAAATCAATCAACTCAGCTTATGACAGCTGTCAGATCGCACTAGCCGCAAGCGAGGGATCATCGCCTCATGCATCTTCCCAATCCTCCCTGGGCGACACCGCGCTGCTGGTTCGGCGCGTTCTCGCGCCCAAGTCTGCTGCCGGTGCACACGCATCAAACACCTTGATCTTATCCTTATAATATGGACTCGGGGGCAACCAATCTCAGGTCCTAGCACGTGAACAGGATCTTGCTGTGCCCTTGGTAGCACCAGTAATTATTGTCATCTTGGCAGCTTTGCCAAGCTTCGTACTGCGTGGAGCGTAGCTGAGGTCTGAAACTCGCTTGTGGACGGCCTCTTTTTTTCACATGCTGATCGTGGATATTTTCTGAATACCGGCAACGGACGATGGCTCCGGAATTCGATGGCCGAATTCCGTCGTAACGACCAATACGTTATGCTGCCATGTGACGTACTCCGTACAAGTCCTCTGCATGTCTGGTTCATGGAAATGTTAGCATGTAATCATCAGGGGTGAGAATACCAACAGGAGACTGACATCACCTACCCTGTAAATGTAAATATCATTGATGAAGAATATGTTTGCTCGCGGCCAAGCTCAGATGTTGACCTTGCCACCCAGAACACCACATTTTTTGGCCACCAGGCAGTGGTTCATCGCCATGACGAGAGTCTTTTGCTGGTTCCCACGCACATTATCCATCGAGATCCAGTTAGGATAAGACTGGCCTGTCGTCGCAGGCCAGAGATCAACAAACAATGACCGCCACGCAGCATTTGCCAGTGCCAAGATGGTGTCTTTTATAAATTGGGTGCCTCGCATTGTCAAGACCCATTCGGTAATGATGATGGCGCTTTGCGAAACAGGTCGTTTCGCGTGAAACTCGGCGATCTGGTCCTTAGCCAGATTATGGACGTTGTTGGTATCGCTCCAGGGGTGGTAGAGCGGGAGGATTCTTCCCGTGATGAAGCCCTCGCGTTTACCGGGGAAAACATCGATATCCTTCTCCCGCCAGGCGTCGTCAAAGTTGATGAGGACGGCAGACGTTTTGTTGCCGATGAACCAGCCCAGGGGCATTTGGCTGACGTCTTGGACGACGTCGGGGATGTTGACGCGGTTCTCTACCGCCAAGAACTGGTTGTATAGCGCTACACGGTCTTCTTGGCTGTCACTCAGTTCGCGATATTGATAATCTTGGTTCCAGGCATCATGGCTGTGTACATCCCAGATGATGAGCTCGCCGGGGTACTTCCGATTGAACTCGTTGACAGTTTGGATCATGTCACTCAAGAGGGCCCCCTCAGAGCCCTGGAACATTATGCCACCTAACGGGTCAGGGGTTCTCACGCCATGAACTTCGCGAAACTCGTCGCCAATCTTAAGGGGTCGGAAGTCGAGAACGCGGATGCCACCATTGCCGAGCTGTTCGCGAAGGTTGACGCTCTGCGTCACGGTGTTTGGCGACGACGCAAGGCCAATACTCACGTGGGAGTGCCACAGGCCGGAGTGATGTGACCTCCCGAGAACAATCTCCCGCAGAGGCTTGTCTTTTAGTTCGGGAAGCATAGTCTGCATCCAGTCGATGGGCGGATCGTTGGTGATGAAATGGCCCTCTTGGCCGGCAATGATGAAGGCCGACGCGGTGCCGGGGAACTTTGTGATTTCAAAGTCGTGGATGCTTCCCTTGGCATTGTTCATGGAAGACAGGGAGTGAAGGAACTCTACTTTGAGGGTGTTGTGCCGATTGTTGAACTTGACCATGAATGACATGGGCTCTGAGGTTCCAACGATATCGTATACTACCTCAGCCGCAGAGTCTGCCCAGTTGGAGTAGGTTTTCGATGGCTGAATCAGGACAGGAGCTATATCGCCTGGATAGATGTGTTCGGGGAAGTCTTCCTCCCAGTCTGGCATTTGGTACTGGTGGATGTAACTCTTTTGCCATTTATAGGGGGTGGCATTGATGAGGGTTATATGGGGAGTTGGCAGGTCCTTCCATTGTCTCTTCTTGATGTTATCTCCCACAGAGATGTTGCGTGTGCCATCTTCTTGTTCCTCGAGGATAATTGTTGAGGGATGAGGAGAGTCCAAAGCCTTATAGCCGGGAATCGGGAGACCTGAAGCCAGAGAGGCGAGGCCTAGGACGAAGAAGATGAGTAGCCAGCGAAAGTAAGGCATTGTTATTGGATATAAATGGAACTGGGGAGATAATAGAAGCAAAAAGAATAGTGAGAAAAGAAACTGTGTATGGTAGCAGAGAGTGGCTGGGCAGATTGGTAGCAATGTGAAGTTGCTAAACGTTCTTTATTATATTGGCGTGTTTGTGGTGTAGCTCGTGATTTGCATGGAGGTGAGATGGATGAGTGAAAGGAGATGGAGATGGAGATGGAGACACGTTGATGGATAAACGGCGGGTGGCTGCGTTGTTATTTACTTCTTTTGTTGCTGTTTACATCTGTTATCTTTGTTGTCGGACTATTTCAACGAAAACTGTAAATGATGGCTTGTTTAGGAGGTAGATAGAAAGATAGTTATGGCGCTGGATAGAGTTGAGGAGGCTTCGAATATTGTTGCTCTGTGTACATGTATTGATGCTCCACCACACACCAAATGTACAACTGAAGTTTGATAAGGCACTACACTGTACTTAATATACCTAGGTGGTAGGTATATGTGCCGAACAAGCCACGAGTATATGTGATGAGTGAGTATACGTGAGTATATGTGGACATTGTATCGATCACGAGGCTTCATGCTCAACTGTATTTGCATTATATGAACTCTACCTAGGTATTTGTATGGAAGTATACAGTGTATGTCTTCAAATGATAATGTATACCTAGGGCAAGTGGTCGCCCATTATTTGTACCTTTGATGCTGCTATACGGAGTGACAAGCTCTACTGGAATTATAAACACGGTATTTGCATTGACGATCTGCTGTTGATATGATGGCAATGATGGCTAATGCCTATGCTGGATTGGCATCCTCATGTCCAGATCCGAGTGCAATTTTCCTTGTATACCAACGTTGAACATCCCCGACTCTACTCATAAGACTGAAAGACATGGTGCGGCTTGATCAAGGCTCCAAGTCCAACTTGATCTCGCAACAATTTGATAGCAAAGAAGCCCTTGCCCATGAAAGCCAGATTCCAAAGGGTTTATCATGATAGACGTGGATATATCATATAATTCTAGAAATCAAGGATGCTGTTAATTGAAATGTGTTAAACGAGAAACAATTATGGGGTAGGCTGAGCTCAGCGTCTATCCGGAAATAATAGTAAGGACCAGGCATATATTATCAATGGCTGACGCGAGCAAGGAGAAATTGAAGAGGCGGTCACAGGTGCCTGTGTTTACAAGGTTGTAGTATGAGTTTGACTGTAAATGCTATTCTGGGATTGAATGAAACTCTTTGATTGATGAGGAATTGTTTGGAACATGTACCTTGCACATTCATGGATCAATGGTTCATGCACGCACAGTACGGACTCGAATACGGAGTAGACTGGAATCAAATCACCACATGAGGCAAAAGGGCCCCTGTATTGACAGACGCTGACAGAGGCCCTGGAGGCGCCTAAACTTGGGCTGCTGGCCAATGGAGATGCCGCGGCGGGGGCGCTGAAGGGCGATTCCAAACAGCGTGCGGGTGACATTGGGCCATGAGCGGGGTTGGAGCTTGGCGCCATGGTTGCAGCGCGTAATTGCTGTAGATTCTGTGCTGTTAATTTGGTGTTGATTGTGTGATGTGACCTGAACGAATTGAGGCCTCGTCAGCCTGATTGATGTGTCCTTATAACTTGCATTGCATCCATTGATGGCACTTCCGCATCTTTTAGTCTTGAATCAAAATCCATTCCAGTGCGGCAAACACACGTGCAAATACGCCTCACCCGAGCGAATATCTGCTAGATTCATCCTCTGCCTGACGTGGCTTGTGGCCTGTCAAGTCCCAGCTCCATTGTATTTTGTATAGCTCGGAAGCGGGGCTTCTTGGCCGTCTTACATCGAGCTCGACTCGACCAGCTCAAACTGCGCCTTTGCCAAGCCAACTTGTTTCTTCACTCTCACCATCAATTTCTCTCTTCATTCTACACCTGCTAGTTCAACAAACGCTCCTCTATACAACGTCCATCGCCATGTCTGGCCAGCAGCAGCACTTCTACCCGCGTATGTCACCACCTCCAGCTTCACCCCGCCATCTCCAAATACTGACTCGCGACATCGCAGCTCCTCCCGGCGCAGGCGCAGGACAAGGTCCGTTCGAGAAGCCAATGCGACAAACGACACGCTCCCAATGCTAACATGAACAACAAACAGCGCCGCCGCCGCAGCAACAGCAGCAATACGCTCCTCCCCCCCAGCAGTATCAATCGCCGCCCCAGCATCAATATGCGCCGCCTCCGACTTCACCTCCCGCGAACCAGACACAGTTCTACCCTCCTCCCCAGGGAACGCCGGGACAAGCGCCTAGCTATGCTCCTCCGCCCCAGCATACGCCATCTCCTCAGATCCAACAGCCCTCGCCGGGCCATTACCCTCCTCCTCCCGGGAGCCAGCCTCCTCAGCACCAGCATTCGCAATCGCAGCAGCTGAATTTGGCCGTGCGTCCAGCAGCGACTCCCGACTCTGGCCACTACCAGCAGCAGGTACATTCACCGCCACCGCCGCAGCAAATACAGCAGCAGCAGCAACAACAACAACAACAGCAGTATCAGCAACAAGTACCTCCTCAGTTTTCACCTCCTCCGTTCCCTCAACAGCAGCAGAATGCTCCGTATCCCCAGGAGAAGCCGCCGGTCCAGACGGCACCACCCCAAGCCGGTGGAGCTCCGCCGCCGACCAACTTTGTTGGAGCTGTCGCGACGACCGATGATGTTGGCACCTTTAATGGGGGAAGCTATCGCATCAGCCATCGGGATACTAATACGATTTTGACTATTCAGTTGGCCATGGGCGCCCCATTGCATGCAAAGCCAGGTACGTTAGACAAGCAACAAGAAATGGCTATGGTGTCGTGATTTGACCAAATCTAATCGCATGATAGGTGCCATGGTCGCCATGTCTCCCACAATCACCCTCAAGGGTAATGTCAAGTTTAGCGTCAAGAAGATCATTGCAGGCGGAGAGCTCGCCAGCTCTACTTACACAGGGCCTGGAGAGCTCATTCTCGCACCCGCCTCTTTGGGAGACATTACGAGCATAAGATTGAGCGGCAAGGAGCAGTGGTCAGTGGGACACGACGCATATTTGGCTTCTACCCAGGCTGTTGTCAAAGACTACAAGCGACAAGGTCTGGGCAAGGCCATCTTCAGTGGCGAGGGTCTGTTTGTCTACAAGATATCTGGAACTGGTCTGCTCTGGGTTTCGAGTTTCGGCGCTATCATTAGGAAAGATGTGAGTCTAAAGCATAATCCCCCCTTGTCCCGACCTGAGACACTAACCCGGTGTAATAGCTTCAACAAGGTGAAAAGTACATTGTAGATAACGGTCATCTTGTGGCGTGGAATACAAGCTACGTCCTGGAACGTGTAGCTTCTGGCGGCATTATCTCTGGCCTTTCCTCCGGAGAAGGCCTTGTTTGCAAGTTTACTGGTCCTGGCACCGTCTTCCTGCAGACCAGAAACCCAAGAGAGTTTGCCGCCTTTATTGGCGGCATCGCCCCCCAGAACGCGTAAGGGCAAATAAGAAATAATGGCTAGAATAAGGGACGACTAGAGAGGTGTGCTCACCTTATGGCAACGCCGTATACGAAAGTCTGACGAGAATGTTTGTTTGTTTTTTTGGAAAAAGCTGGCCGGCCCCCTTTTTGTATTATCTCTGTTTGGACATTTATGTACTTCTTTGAGTTTGAGTTCAGCGATGGAGGGCCTTTTAGTTTGATTACCAGTACATTACATGTCTATGTAACACTTACGCTTGATTGTTGTTTTCTCACGATGGCTCACGTTTTCACCTAGTTGGCTGAAGCCGCTTTCTTCTTTTCCTCTTCTTGGAACCTTTTTTTCTCCCTCTTAATGATGGAATGAAGCTGCTAGCTGGTTGGCGGAAGAAGCAAAAAAGCCGTAAGGAATCACTCGTGAGTCGCGATCTTGTCAGATGCACCTGCGTCAAGATCGAATGACATGCCAAAAGGGAAGAACCAGCTCAGCGACCTTCATAGATGGTGCCTTTCAAGGCAGGCATTGATGGGAAAGTTGACAATATGGTTGCCGAGACGAAGATTCTAGAGGCTGACCTGGTGCGAATCTTAAATCTTAAATCTCGCTCGTCATTTCAACCTTATGCGAAGCCATCGTTGCATCCTACGCACTCAACCATCCGCCTCTTTTTGGACTTTTCGTATCCCAGCCAACAGGTGCGGGTTGTTTGTTTGCCAGTCTTTGGTATTTGAGCGTGTCTTTTACTTTTGTTTAAGAGCAAGCGAACTTTATCGCGGAATATTCCAGGCGCGGATATATATCAGCCGTCTGCCAGCTGGAAGCCATTGCAGCAGTCCAACTCAACACACCCTTTCGACCTCAACATATCTGCTCTCCTCCGACATCCTTGTCTTTACCTGCTTGTGCTTAGGAAATTCTTGAGGCAGCGCTTGGTCTTTTCTTGAAGCGGAACTTGTCGTGAAATTGAGTTGTTTTGAAGTTATCGAAGTTGGAGAACTTGCTCGTGCGAAAAGAAAACAGGCCAAACAGGCCAAGGAAGGCGTTCATCAAAGCTATTCTCCGAGAATCGACGTCCAAAAGCCCTCGCTTCTAGCCCAAACAGTCAGGGACATCTACCATATTCATCGATACCAACTTGATCGCTCGAAACCATCTGAATTAGCAAACGGTAAGTACCGAGATGCAACACACGATTCTGGTGGAATGAAGCAAGAGCTGACCTGGCTTTTGAAGATTGAGAATGGCTATGCTAGGCGCTGCCAGCCGATGTAAACGGCCATCCCCTCCTACCACGGCCAAAGAGACGGGTTCGAAGAGCGAATCACGTACCAAGGCCTTGGGCCATCCATATGACTATCAACGACTGAAGAAAAGCAATTCTCATCAAGCGTTGGATAATCCCGATTGGCGAACTCGCCCTTCCGGTAGTGGCAGTTCACCAACGTTGGATGATGAACAGGCTTGGAGGAACCTGATAGGTTCTGGGAAACAATGGATTGGAATGGATGCATTCCCAACCACTCCATCCGCCGAGGAAAGGAAACACGGGGTCCATCTACAGAAGGCAAGCGACGTGCCACAAGATCGCGCGACGGGTAGCAACGACATGAGATACCATCGACGGAATGTTTTTGCCCTGTCTTCCGAATTGGAACCAAAGATCATACAGACCATGGAAGAAGAACAGCCTATTCCATATGGGATTTTGAAGCAGGTGTGCCTTTCGTCTTCGAAAGAACATCCCCTGAGCCTCTTTGAAGTTGCACCATTGAGAAGCATCCCTAGCTTTTTGTCTCCATCTGTTGTGGACATTCGGCCTCTGAAGGAAAATTTGATGCAAAAGAAGCCAGGCAACGGCCAGGACGAGCAACTCACCGCAGCGCTCAAAGCTGCCGAGGCCACGCCTCACAAAGTTCGAATGCACATGAGCCAGAGAAGTCGTCAAAATGAGACGAAATTGAAGCATGCCGTAGCAGACGAATTGCGAGCACGAAAGGGTGTTTTCGAACCACCAGACGTTGTCACTGCGCAAAGGAACAGAGCCAAAGATTGCTCCGACGCGAATCGATTGTCCCCCAGCCAGACAGCCCGTTTGGTGAACGAGGAGAGGTCTGCTGAGTCGTTTGAGACTGAAAAAGATCAGGCCTTTCAGAAATTTCTAAAGAAACTAGCACAGAAGAACAGAGACTTGCCAAGTGAAAAGCTACAGGGACGAGACAGGGTGGACAGCGGCTACGAAGATGGCTCAAAGGAAGAGCAGAGCGGAGGCTCAACAGAAACCTGCGTCTTGAGATACCGGACACATAGGGCCAATGAACGACAGCAAGTATCTTCGGAGATTTTCGCAAGCCACCGGAAACGAGCATCTGAGATTTCCCACAAGGAGGACTCAAGCCTCCCAGCAGAGCAATCTACTAGATTCAAGAGCCTGAACCCCAAAGCGCGAGAGTTTCTCTCGTTTGTCTCCAACCGAAGCTCCAACTCGGAAGACGACAATATGGAGCCCCTTCAGCCCTTTGCCCCGGAGCCTTTTGCTAGCAAGAGCGATCATGTCAATGCCATGTATCTGGCAGGACTTGGTCTGCCGAATGTTTCTTCGCTTCAGCAGCAACCGCCGCCGCCGGCCTATGGGCTTGTGCCGCTTGCAGCTGCTCCTGATACAGTCACTGACTCTCTGACGATCAATAACTTGATGCCGGGAAGATTGATCCCTGTACAGATGGGAACGGATCAGCTTGGAGGCCAATTTCCGACGTCTGCCTTGCCAATGCCAACAGTGCCGCCATTACCTTCGCTCCTACCAACACTATTTCGGCCGGAGACGGTACTGCCGTCCGTGTCTATGATGGGCAATAGCATGCCGGGCATCCCGACGGTACCTTCTATGTTGAATACGACATTTCCCTTGGCACCTGGCTCCAACCCTTGCTTCAACATGTCATCAAGCCAAATGCCGCTCATGACGGGTACTCGCTGCCCACCGCAGCCGGTGCCAAAGCCTCGACGCCCAGATCCAGGAGATCAACAGGCATACGAGGCATGGATCGAGTGGCGCAAGGCAAACGAGCCAGGTTATGCGTTAGAGTGTCGTCTGAGACAACAGCGACGAGCCCAGCGGAGCATGACGGACAAGGTACCGCCCAAGACCCAGTCAGCCAAGAAGGACGACGCCTTCGGCTCGGCGTGAGGCGTACAAGATTATGTATAGGAGAGCAGGGCGATCGGTGACGATGCCTTCTGGCACAGAACTCGGTCAGATGCTCCTGGCGACGCCCAGTGGCGGGGATGTGGTGAAAGGTCTACGCCCCCCTATTCCACTTTTTTTTCTTTCTTTACAACTAAAATTAACTCGTTTGTTTTTCTTTTTTCGTTTTCGTTCTGCAACATTATGCAGATGTTCGGAGTCAGCCGCAGCATGTGGATAATGTTGCTTTGCAGAATGTCTTTCGATTACTTCCTGCGGGTTGTCAGTCTCCATGGTTGCCGGTTGCCCCTGATGGAGTGGCTGGCCGGCCGTGGTGGATTTAGCGGAGGGGGCTGATGGTGATTGGTATGATTACGAGAACTAATTGCGCTGGAAATGCATTGATCGTTACGTTACTATGACTGGAAGAGTGCTTGTGGAGACAGCTTAGAGTCGTTTGTGTTACAGTATCTGGTACAAGATGATGAGAATTAGCTAGTCTTTGTGGTATATCATATGCATGGTTATTTGCTACTCTTGGCCGCTTCTCCTGTATACAGCGAAGATGATGTCAAGCATAAGTAGAATAGAAACTGTCCGAAACACGCTCCGAGTATTTGGAATTGCTGGCCAAGTGAGACTATCAAGTGAGACTCTGTGACTAAGGAGGAGGAGTAGGACTCAGGAGGAGGAATAATAGGAGGAAGAGGAGTCTGGCAGGATTACGCATATTGTCTCTGGTGACGATGGCGATGAAACGTTTGCTGCATATACGAATGTAGGGAGGATCAAGACGGTGATATAAATAAACTATACTGAAATGAATTGAAATCAAGATAGAGCCAAGCAACGGAGCACTCCGTGTGTGCGTAGGTAGTGACAGGGGCAAAAGACAAAATGCATGTCTCAGACATGACATGAGCAACACGAAGAGGCGCTTACTTTTTTCTCCTCTTACTCTATTGACTCACTCTTTTCTTTTTGCTTCTCCTTTCTTTGACTGTGTATGTATACTATGCACCTTAGTGACTTGTTTTGATATTGGACTGGTTTAGTTTCATGCTGTGTAACAGCGAGGCGTATTTTTATGCTTGGGGATTTTAATGGCTGGCTACTAATGTTTTTATGTATGTGTATGTGCATGTATGCACCTATGTGTTTATGCGTGTATCTACCTATGAGCGTGTCTATCGTGTTTGTGTGTTTGTCCGTCGTTGTACTTGTGTATACCTTACAGGCATCTCTTGGCGGGCATCTTGGTGAGGATTCATTTATTTTGTCAGTTGGTTGCACAAATTGATTATCGGTGCATACAACCGCTCGGTGAACAAATCTAGATATTTCTTTCTTTCATCTTCTTTTTCCTTCTTTTGAATTGTGTTGCATTGTTGGGGAAGAGGATGATAACGCTCGTGAAAAAGGGGGGGGCGGGATGAAGTAGTATTGCTGCCCTTTTTCGCTGCCTTTTCTCTACCGCTTCTGTTTGCCTCATGTAAGTACGTACTTTGCTTTGCTTATTTCTGTTCGCATCAGTCTTTATTTGTATTTATCTGCACACCGACTATTCGTGCTTTAGTTTTTTGTTCTTCCATTGGACGTGGAGGGGGTGTGCGTAATGGACCACATCACGAATGAAATTGAACTGCAAATCATCACAACGAATAACATCACTCACACTCCTTGCTACTAAACTCCTGCAGCAAAAAACACGGCACGGTGCTTATACGAACCCGCCTACGTCCAAAAATTTAGCCTCCTGTCAATTTAGCTTGCTTCTTCCCAAGCTCGACCAATGCGCGCTTCCCCCCCCCTCTCCCCTCTCGCAGAGCCGCATCGCATCAACGAAACAACAAGCCGCCTTTTTTCTGTCTGCATCTAGTTTCGCTTCGTTTGCCTTTTTATTCGTCCCCCTTTTTTCTCCCTTTTTTCTTATACATGGGTTAATGCTTGAACATAACATAGCCATTGATTAGGGCGTATTTCTTTTCGTTTACGGATATACAAACACGCCCCC